TTCAAGCGACGGCGCCAATGAGAGCCAAGCCATTCGACACTTGAATTTGCTTTGGCTCTCGCAGTGCACACAATTTATAGCATTGAACGATAATACAACTTGATGATTTCTCTCAATACTTTAACATTTTATTTCCCCCCACATGAACGATAATACAACTTGATGATTTCTCTCAATACTTTAACATTTTATTTCCCCCCACATATTTCATTCACTTGTTTCCAACAGTTTGTAAAGTGGCATTCAGTGTAGTGCGCGCTGGCTTTAATAAATGAAAATATTTTCTTTAACAAAAATATTAATTAAATAAATGAGTGTGTATAAAAATGCCTAAAAAGTTCATTATTCTCTAAGTGCTTATATTAATTATTATATATTGCATATAAATTATTTTGCCATACATATATTTTTGTTTAATTAATTATACCCTAGAAATGGGAAATCGGGGTAAAATGGTTTTGTTGAAATGTATGTAACAGCAGAAGGAGGCGTGGCAGACCCCCATAAAGTACATATATTCTCGATCCGGTTAGTTTGCTATCGCCTAAAAACATTATCGAAATGCAGTAATATTATTATATCCTCTAAATCCTTGGAACTAGAATCGACAAATTTTAAATGTAGATTTTTATATACTTAATAGAATTTCGGTTTTTATTATAAATCCAATATTAATTGTGATAATGGCCAAAATAATTTTAATACTGACAATGCAATTGATAGCCTGATAAGAAATAATAATAATAATATTAATTCCGCAGAATTCTTCATTCTTTAATTTGAAGTCAACGTGTTTCCATTTGCGTTTCATTTGACGCTGTCAGCTGTTGGCTGTGGATAGGGGCATTTGGCATAATTAAATTTGTCATCATTCACAGAGAGCTGAAAAATGTGACAGGATAGGGGAGAGGAGCTGCGCGCGTCTAACGACATTTCGCTAATTTCCCATTCAAATCACGCCCTAATCGAAGTCAGTGCAACTGTCAAATGACTCAAAGATGACATTTATGTACACGATGACAACGTGCATGCCCCTCTGTCAACCGCCATGCTCTTATCAGGCTGCTCATCAGAGCAGCAGCAGCAGCAGCAGTCGAGACTTTATTGCCAACGGCATTCCTCTGCGCTCAGTTGTTGTCAACATTTTGATTTCAATGCTGTCAACATTTTCGCAACAGGCTGACAGCCAACAGCGGGTGGAAAATTAAAGATCATTCGAGTCGGATATATGGAAAGACATTCACAGACAAAGAGAGGGAAAGAGAGAGAGAGAAAGAGAGAGAGACAAATCTAATTGACAATTTGACATTGCAAATCATTTGGTCAGGTTGTTTTCCGTTTTGCCTCTTTTGTTTAGCCTGAGAGTTAATTTGTTCGTGTTTTGACTGCCGCCGCTATCAACCTAATGAGAAATACTATATCAGAGAGCTGGCATTCAAATGCACAATCTCAACTTCTCCCTGTCTCGCTGCCCATTCTCAATGTCAGGGGGGAGCGTGTTCGGCGCACAGCTCAACTGCAACTCCTTGTTGGCCGCGGGCTAATTTTCAGCCAGCTGACATTGTCCCCCTTTGTAGTCGCCGGCGTCTGTGTTCCGTTTTAATTTAAGGCGTGCTCCATACTCTTACTGTGAGTGGGCATATGACGTTAGTTGTTAAGAGCTGACGAATGAAAAGAAAAATACAAATCGATTGCTGAAAAAAAAAAATATATATATAGTAATTTATTTCAGTAAATAAGCAACCAAATCTTACAACTATTTAGAAGTCAAATATGAAGCAAAAAAAAATATATATATATATTTCAATTATTTTATCTTTAAATTAACTATAATTTTGCTATGAAAATTAATTATACTTTTCATATGAAAATAACTAATAATTAATTTTGCTATAAATATTAACTATAATTTTACGACAATTATTAAAAAGCTTTTAAAAATACATTTTAATTTTGCTATGAAAATAAATTAAAATTTTATTATATAAATGCTTTGTATGTTAATAATAATTTTACTATTTAAATTCATACAAATTTAACGATTTATATACGTTTTAAGTTCACTTTTTATTATTTTTTTATTATTTAATTTATTTATTTTTTATAAAATTAATAATACATTTCTTTACTATTCAAATTAATAACAATTCTTCTTATCGATTAAACAATTTATTTCCTACTAAAATTAAATGCCATTTTTTCTGTAAAAATATTTTCTTGTATCGCATATATGAATATAGGAATATATTTATGTATTGGAACCAGAAATTTGTTTAAAGATTTGTATATATTATTTATTTATCAGCACAAACTGAAAGACTTTTTACTTTCATTGCATTCTTATCAATATAAATGATGAATATGAATTAAGTTACCTCTGCGGTCTTCCGGCATTCCGTTTAGGTTGAGGTCCCCGTACCTATCGGTCAACAGTAATCAAATATAATTGTTTATATTCTGCTGCGAATTTGTTATCAGCTACAGCAGACTTGTGTATTCCAGCTGGCAGAGTATTCAAAGCGTATCTGACGCCGATCAAGTTGTATTTTTGTTGCTGTTTGGGGAGCTGCATTATTATGATTTGCGCCATAATTATTTTGCTGTGCATTCAGTGCAGGTCCTTGGAGCGACCACCAAGGACTGCCAACTCCAAACTGGACTAGGGATAACGGGCGCCAGCATTTTGCTTGTCACGCAAATGTTTCATGTCAGATTTACGCTGCTCCAGCCACTTTGTATATACATATATAGTGCTTTATATATATATATATATATATATGTGTGTGTGTGTGTGTATATGCCGGTCTGTCCACTCGCTGGCTGGAAATGCCCAACCTCTGTTTCAGCAACTGACCCATGTAGCAGCACGCTCAGTGGTGAAAGTGCAAAAAATCTCAAAGCCAAAATAATTAAAAAATATATTATAAAAATATACTATAAAAAATGAATAAAAAAATGGATTTAACTTAAGGGCATTATAATCTATTCGTTAGCTATATATATTTAAAATTAGTACCACTTTTCAATCGCTTTTGCACCACGGTGCGCTGCCCTTTTTTAGCACGTTCTGGCGGTCGCATGCTATATTTTTCAATTTGTAAACATATCCTGCGGTGCAAGCGCTGAAAGCCGGCTATGAAAAACGAAACGCAAAAAGAAAAGGGAAAATAAAAAAACTGAAAGCAGCGCAGCATTAGTAACCAGATGGCACGCCCCCACGCCCGTCAGCCCACCTCTCTGTTTGCCCCGGGGCGTCAGCATGGCCAAAGCATGAAATGCATTTGCTTCATTTGTTTGGTGTGTTTCTCATGTCAACTTAATGTTTATTAGAAAGCGTCTGCTCGAATTGCACTGGACAGCATACAGCGCTCAGGCCACGCCCCCTGCCGCCAGAACTGCCCCCACCCAAATAACTCAAACATCGGACGGCAGTTGGCAGACCCGAGAATCCACGCCCCAGACCAATGCGAACTGATGGCAGTCGGCAAAGCATTCTTCAGTTATTTAATCGGACTTTGAGAGTCAATTTAAATGCATGTGCAGCACATTAAGTTCCTTTGGAATGTAAATTATTTTCTGCATATGATAAACTGCTTAAACTACGATGAGCTAGTTAATTTATAAGATATTTTAATTTTAAAGAAAAGGAATAAATTCACAGCCAAAAATACTCTATAACAGCACTTGAGGCGTGAGTGAGTATTCGGCAGTCGGTGACACCCGAATGTAATTAATTTTTTGCGATTGTCATGTCATGAAATACTTTGCGTGCCGACAAAAGGAAAAATGTTCACTATTAATAAAGCTAATTCTTTGAATTCTTTTATGGTATATGTCGCCATGGCTCATGGCTAATAGCAACCGGAAATTCCAAGTAGTGGCTGGGTAGAGCCTGAGAGGCCGCACCGTCTCTTGTGTTAACGTTGTTAAGAGCTCATTGGCCAACATGTGTTACATTGCTTACAGCAGTTTGTTGGCTTAATTGCCAATGGAACGCAACATTTGCGATTAACGGCTCTAGCTGGTGACATCTTAGTTGGTTCGATATGAGTGTAAAGTTTTTTGGTACTCCCATGACCAAAAAAATGCATATAATTTGTGTATGTATATGAAACATTGTTAGTTCTTGCCTTCTTAACTGAAGGCATCTACAAGATAACGACAGACTATGAGCAATCTCTTATATGTATACATAAATACAATTATAACATATACAAGAAATATATATATATTTTATATATGTATATGACGATTACTCAAACTGAAACAATATGGCTAACCGAGCTAATATGGCTAACCGAGCAGGGGCTATCGCCTTGGCCAGCATGTGGAGCATAATACTTGAATATAAGTGAAAGCAAACCAACGTCTCAATTAGTTTTGTCTGAGTTCAATGTGAGTCGGAGCTAAGAGTGGAAACTTAGCTCGAGCTTTCTTTTTGTGTAAGGCAGTGAATTATTACTAATTTTATTTATATTTTATTTTATTACAATATTTGTTATTTCCCACACTAGAAAATGGCGCAGACATTTAGTGCAATTACACTAGTTCCCATGCTGCTGCTGTTGGGCTGCTGCAATGCGACTGAAGATTACAAAGGGCAGAAGAACACGGATTACACAGCTATCAAGCCTGAATTGGCAGTAAAACTTTGTAATTTAATACACCCCAAAGCTAAGCAGGCAATGATATACGGGATGCAATAGAAGGCACATTCGAGACACTAGCCCCAAGCTCGGCCCAAACGGATCAGCAGATCTCGGAGAAATCAGTTCGATTTCCGTGCGTGTCTGCGTTCCGATATGGGAGTGTAAGGAAGAACATCAAAATATCGATGGGAATCATATGGATCGATTTCGAAACGACACTAGCGAGAGCAAGTGCAGCCATTTGGAATCCTGCTGTCACCTGGACAAGGTACGCGCAATGATAAATCAATCGGCATCAGCACAGAATCCACCTGAAACTCTTCCAGATCGAAACGTTGCCCGCCGATGATGATGAGGACGATCTACCGGCATGTGGTACTCGAGTTTGGCGAGTTCCCCTGGATGGTGGCCATCCTGCTGAAGCCAGAGCCCACATATATTGGCGGTGGTTCGCTGCTGGCGCCAAACATTGTGCTCACCGCGGCCCACAAGGTCGACAGCCTGGCTGGGGATCGGCTGCTGATTCCTGCTGGCGAATGGGACCTGGCAACCAATGAGGAAATCTATCCGCACATCGATCGCAATGTCAGCGAAATACTCATCCATGACAACTACTCCAAGGCAGCCAATGCCAACAATATAGCGCTGCTTGTGCTCGAGCTGAGCCTCAGCCACAATCCGCACATCTCGCCCATCTGCCTGCCCACTGCCCCCGCCAGCGTCGATGTCCATATCGATCATGCCAACTGCATTGCAATGGGCTGGGGCCGAAGATCCAGGGCGTACAGGCAGCCTGTGAACGTTCTCAAGGAGCTGACCATACCCCTTGCTCCCCGTACTGAATGCATCCAAATGCTACAGGCCATGACACACGGCCCGTTCGAGTCCATGAGAGCTACCTGTACGTGGGCGGCAAGAATGATATCAATGCCTGCGTCGGCGACGGCGGAGCTCCCCTCGTCTGTCCCACTGTGGCACAGCCCAATCGATACTATCAGATTGGCATTGTTGCCTGGGGCCTTGATTGCAACTTGGGCCGAGTGCCCGCTGTCTATAGCAACGTCTCATATCTGATGCCCTGGCTGAGCCAACAGCTCAACAGGCTACGCATAGACCCAAATATTATACTCTATAATCGATAAGCCGTAAATGCATACAAAAATATAAATATATATATGTATGTATAAATTTACAAAAATTGTACTTGTTATTCCTGGTTAGCTAATGAGAGCTGTTCCGTGATCCAGGGCATCATCATTTGAACATTCGTATAGACGCCGGGCACATTCTCAGCGCCACAGCCCAGGCCCCAGGACACCATGCCGGCCAGCTGATAGCGCGCGGATCCTTTGGTTATGGGGCATACGAGTGGTGCACCACCATCGCCGAAGCAGGCATCCCTGCCCCTCTCTCCGCCGGCGCACACAAAGCTCTCGTGCAGCTCAAAGTATCGGCCCAGGCGAGTATTGTAACGCAGTTGATTCTCACACTTGTTGCGCTCAACAAACGGCAGCTCGATGTTCTTCAGAATGTTGGGATAGTCCTTATCACTGTAGCCACGTTTGCCCCAGCCGGTGACGGTGCACCGACTGGAATCGAAGATGGCTGCAGGGCTGGGCAAGCAGATGGTGCCAATATGCTTATCCAATTTAAACGGAGGGCTTAGAATCAGCAGAGCCAAGTCGAAGAAACCGGTCATATTATCGAAATCCGGGTGAGTGATGATTTCCTGGACTAGGCGATCTTGATGTTTCAGCGCCTCGTACGTGTAGCGGTTGTCCCATTCCCCAGCGCGCGCCACCACAATCTCATTCATGCCCTCTTGAAAGATGTGGGCTGTGGTCAGCACCACTCGGGGAGAAATCAGGCTGCCTCCGCCCATAGATTTGAAATTGTTGAGGCTGTCGTGGATCAATATGGCCACCATCCACGGGAACTCACCAAACTGCGACTCACTGTGTTGGCCATTTAGAATCGTTATGCTCAGGCCCTTTAAATTGCGCATACCACAGAGTCCGGGCACGTACTCCCGCTCCGGCACGGCTGTCCGCTGCAGGGGTTTGCATTGGGATGTGAGTCGGAAATAATATGGTTGACATTGCGCTTACCACATCTGCTGGGGCACAACACTTTTGGAAGTAGTTGCAGCCTTCATTACGGCCACTGAAATCGTATGATCGAAAGTCAATGAGAGCTCGTCCGTCGGCAATTGTGGTACTGCTGCTATCACACAAGTGCCGGGGTGTGCATTGCCTTGGAGGCTCGCATTGCGTTGCTTGCACATGCAGGGCATTCTGAGCCGTTCCCTGCCGAGTGCCTGCCAGGAGCAGCAAGCAAGCCGTGAAGGTAGATAAGTATTCCATTTGAGACGAGAGCCACGATCCGAATAATATGAGCGCAAATTCTAAACTGACGATCGTCGCATTCTGCATATATGCTTATACGAACTGTCCCAGATGACACTGTACACTTATCAAATGCTTCTTATATATTTCGAGCTCGTGCATGCGACTTAGCTGATCATGCGTTGTCTATTTTTATGAACGGGAATCGAAAATGAGAAGCCCGGGTATGCTGGTTGTGCTAAAATGTATGTAACAGGCAGTAGGAGGCGTCTGCCTGTGTGCTTGAACGTGCCGATCTTTGAAGATATAAGAGCTAGAGACTTGAAATTTTACTTGTTAGCTCCCTATATACACCGTGCATATCGAGTTTGTTTCGATAACGACTACACTCATTTTCTTATCGATTAAAATTTCTGTTGACAATCAGTTATGCAATGATAAACTCTATATCTTTAAAGCTAAAGTCTCCACACGTATTTTATACAATTCATATATATTTTTTATAATCCACCCCCTCCATTAAATCCACTCCTTTTACCCCAAATTTGCATAAAGCGTCTTTTAACTAATAGAGACTTGTGCTTTTCCATATATGTATATCCACCTTCAGCCCGGCAGATCTCGTAGTGGAGCAGTCTCGACTAGAGCTCTCTTACTTGCTTTATATATAAATATTTCCATGAATCTCTAAGTATAAGATTTTAGCTTATGTATAATTTTTTTTGCATGTATAATATTGCATCATGACATTTTTAAAAGGTAAATTTCTTACGACTAACCACATAAACTTTTTAAATTTATATTAATATTGCATGTTTTATTTGAGTTTGAATTAAAAAAAATAAATATATGTCAAGGATATTCATTCGTAGTTTTCAAACCCTTCTCAGATTGTTATGGAATGCAGTTTGAGATGTTCCATGATCCAGGGTATCATCTCTTGAACATTCGTATAGACGCCGGGCACATTCTCAGTGCCACAGTCCAGGCCCCAGGACACCATGCCGACCAGCTGATAGCGCGTGGAGCCATTGGTCATGGGGCATACGAGGGGTGCACCACCATCGCCGAAGCAGGCATCTCTGTCCCTCTCCCCGCCGGCGCACACAAAGCTCTCGTGCAGCTCAAAGTATCGGCCCAGGCGAGTATTGTAACGCAGTTGATTCTCACACTTGTTGCGCTCAACAAACGGCAGCTCGATGTTCTTCAGAATGTTGGGATAGTCCTTATCATTGGAGCTACGTTTGCCCCAGCCGGTGACTGTGCACCGACTCGACTCGAAGCTGGCTTCAGGGCTGGGCAAGCAGATGGTGCCAATATGCCAATCTAGCTGAAACGGTGTGTGCAGAATCAGGAGAGCCGTGTCATATATGCCATTCAAGTCATTGAATTTCTCGTGGATGATTAGATCAGCCACCTCTCGGTCTTGATGTCTTAGCTCTTCGTTTTCGCTTTTGGTATCCCATTCTCCCGCCCGCACTCGCAGATCCTTGGCATGTAGATTCTTGAAGATGTGGGCTGCACTCAGCACCACATGGGGAGAGAGCAGGCTACCACCCCCCACAGATGCATAGCTATTCAGCGGAGCAGTGGCTCTGCTCTGTATGGCCACCATCCACGGGAATTCAGCAAACTGCGACTCTCCGTGCTGCGCGTTCTCAATTGTAATGCTCACGCCCTTCTTGTTGCGCGCACCACAGAGTCCGGGCACATATTTTTCGTTCACGATCGGTGCCTGAAGAGGTTTTGATTGCGGTGATCTTTGGAGCAGATTCAATGAAGAACATTTATCTTACCGTCCGCTTGTCATTCACCGAGCAGCACTCTTCGAAAATTCCGCATTTTTCACGGCCATTGCGCGGGGACTCTATTGAGCGAAAATCGACGAGAGCTCGTCCATCTCTTATTACTTTATTGCTGTTGTCGCACAATTTGCGCGGCGTGCATTCCTTTTCTATGCCACACGATACTGGAGTGAGGCCATTAGCATCTTGAGTGCTGCCCGGCTGAGTAGTGGCTAGCAGCATGCAAGTCCAGCCCAGCATATAGTTCCAGAAACCGCAGAATTTCTTCATTTGATTAAAAAACGGGCAACTGTTTAATGCGAACGAAGATTATGGACTGAGCAATCATCTCGCGAATATTTGTTATGTATTCATTTAAATTCTCTGAAATACACCACTTGCCTCTGGTATGGATGTGATAAGAAGAAAGCCGTATATAAAACATTAAAATTAAATAAATATATATGTACATATATTCTTATCTATATTCATAATATATATACCCAAATAAAATTGTATTATTGTGAATTTCAGTCCGTTCAGTATTCATTTATTTCATGATACTCAAAGCAAAATGAGCTTGAGACTGCTGTTGATCTGCAGCTGCGCTGCTACGCTGTCGACAGTCGCTAGCTCGCAGAATTTATATCGAAGGGCAAATGATATCAGAAACGAAGAAACGGCCAGAGGAAAAGCATGTGGTTATCAAATGGAGTGTGTTTCGCCCTCGCAGTGCCGCAATAATACACTGAAACAATTCGGGGCCTTCAACCGTGTGGATTGTAACAGGAATCAGATCTGCTGTCCCATAGCTAATAAAGTAAGGTATATATATATATATATATATATATATATATATATATATATATATTTCTGATTATTTATATCTCATATAATGTTTGACAGATCGAAGTGGACAGTGGCCAGTGGCCACAGTGCGGCTATCGATTAGAGAATGGGATTCCACAAGCCACTGACCGTCGGATAGCTGAGAACGAGGCCAATTTCGCAGAGTTTCCCTGGATGGTGGCCCTGCTGAGGCGAGAGGATCCGGTGCTGACCATGTATGTGGGCGGCGGCTCCCTGTTAACACCGCAGGTCGTACTAACAGCGGCTCATAAGGTGCTGAATATATCGGAGAGCGAACTAATCGCCAGAGCTGGCGAATGGGATCACCAGACAGCAGAGGAAGCCTACCTCCATCAGGATCGCAACGTACAGCTCAAGATCATCCACAAGCGATTCGATGCGCAATCGAAGGCCAATAACATAGCATTGCTGCAGCTGCAGGTCGCGTTCGTGCCGAGTCCCCACATATCGCCCATCTGTCTGCCCGATGCTAGCGAAACCTTTGACAACCGTCGCTGCATCATCACGGGCTGGGGCAAGAGCCTGGACAACCGCAATGACTACCATCACGTTCTCAAGAAGATCGTCGTGCCCGTTCTCTCGCGCAGCCGCTGCAATGACAAACTGCGCCAGATATACAATCCGTTCTTCAATCTCGACTACGGTCACATTTGCGCTGGCGCCGAGAAGGGCATCGATGCTTGCCTGGGCGACGGCGGCAGCCCGCTCGTCTGCCCCATCCCGGGCAGCCCGAACCGATACCACCAGGCTGGCATTGCTGTCTGGGGCATTGGCTGCGGCCTGGAGAATGTGCCCGCTGGCTATGTGAATGTGCCGCACTACATACCCTGGATTCAGCAGGAGCTCAATAAGCTGGGCATCGATTTGGAATACAACAGAGCTTAGATTAGCTGGAATACCTTAACAATAATTTCTTCGAAGAAAATCTCTAATCGGGTTACCCGAATGTCGTAAAAGAAATTTGATAAACAAAATTTTAAAAAAAAAAAAAAAAAAAAAAAAAAAAAAAAAAAAAAATTTTTAAAAAAAAAA